GGGCGGGAGTCAGTCAGGGAAAGAGCGGGCTCCGGCTGAAGGGCCGCGGGCGGGCGGCAGCCCGGCGCAGGCGCTTTGTCGCCGGGCGGAGGGCTATGGCCGAGGGAGGAAAGCAAGGCTCGTGTAGGAAGGTAGAGGAGAAGGGAGCTCTCCGGCTCTCTTCGCCATCACTCGCCAGGCCGCCCAGAAAGGGCCCCGGGAAGGAGCCGTCTTGGCAGACCGGGCGCCTCATGCTGACAGGCTGCCTTTGCCCGGGGCTGTTTCAGCCTAGAGCACGGCGTGCGGGGGTTTTTGCAGAGCATGGAGTAGGGGTTTTTGCGGAGAATGGAGTAGTTCAGAGGTACAAAGCGAGGGGAAACCTCGCTCTGCCTGCGCCTGGCCGTGTGCGGCGTGCCTCTCCTACAGGACCTTTGCCTCGGTGGTGTTCTCGGTCCCTTGCAGCCCTCGAAAACTGCCGCGTTTGCAGAGGCGGTTTTCTAGGGCTGTCCTCTTGGGTTCCTCAGGATTGTCGGGCGTGCTTTTGCCACGCTGCAAGTTCCCCAGGTCAGCTAAATTGCCTTTCTTCCATTTGATTCTGAAATACTCTTGGGATGCTGCTCGCAGTGCCTTGATGCTGTCTTTCGAGACAGTCATTATGAGGAAAATTAAAGAACAAAAGAGACAACTTCGGGTCTACGTACTGACAGAAAGAGCAATAGTTTCTGGAGAGGTTATTCTCTGGCTGTGTTGCTCCCAGGTCCTGGGCACTTCGTAGAAACCAGCTGAAGATTTTCCTAGAGAAACCACTCCAGTGCAGGAGGGTTCGGCAGAATCAATCCCGAGTCAAATCTTCAACCAATAAACTCAGCACTGTGGTTTGACATGCACTGTATTTTTCAGAGTAGTATTTCCCTGATAAAAGTCATCCTAACAAGATAGTTCACTGTCAGATCTCTTAAACAATGTCTGTGAATGTATCACACCCTCATCTTTTGTCAGTTCCCGTTTCTGTTGGCTGCTGTTATGGAATTGGTCTGAGAGGCGTCATGGGGCCCGTTGGTCCCCAGGACCACAGAAATGCTCCTTTATCACCCCAAGCTCTACTTTAATTGGTAGACCCCTCAGTGAGGGTATGGCTATACTGGAGAATGGGGGATCACTGATAGGTGTAGCAGGAAAAGGGGAGGTAAGGTGGAAAAGTAGCAACTGCAAAGGTGGAAAAAAATTATCCCTAGAGGGATGGTTTGGAAATTCTTGATAAGTCAGGGGTGAATAAGGAGGAACTAGACAGTCAGCCCACTGGAGTTTTACTTGCCCAGATTGCACAAATACCTAGGAATAACTATAACAGCAACAATTTTATAGTCTTTGTCTTGAGAGATAACTGGTCGGTCACCTACTATGTTAACCCCGCCCTGCATTAACCTTCATTCACATTTAACATCTTGATTTCTTTCAGGGTCTTAAGTTCCGATTTAAGCCAAGTTGAGGTCTTCAAAGCTAACTGTTCCTTTCTCTCCTTTCCTTGCCTGACAATTATTTCTACTCTGTGCTCCACTATAATTTCTGCTAGTGGTGTATCCCAACATGTCACACAGCAGTTCTCACCAGCTGACAGCCAGCAAAAGCAACTCCATGACCTTTGCTGATGTTTCTTTGTTATGTCAGCTCTTACAAGAGCACACATAACTTTGGGAACTAAAGAGTTTCCAAGTTCTCTGCAGATACTACTTCTCCCCTTTTTTATAAACACTTTACAAAACCTTCTACTTTTTGTTTTCAGAACCCAATCATGGCACTCCAGTGCTCAAAGCTGTTGCTTGAGATCAGGGCGACTTCTCAGCGGGGCACACTGAGATGGAATTAAATGGCCTAGACTTTTCTTCACTATTGTAAGTAAATGTGTTTTCCCCCCACCTTTTTAAATGAATTCATTTTTAACAGAAATGCATCACAAATATCCGCAAAACAGTCATGTTTTAGGCTTGCCAACCTGTCAATCCCATCTACCTCTGTGTTCTACCAGATGGATGTCAACAGAGCACCTCTGTAGGGGTGGTGAGCATTTCCTTTCTGGTACTTAGGGCGGGAAGAAGGTGTAGGCTGTTTGCCTAACTCTACCATCTTAGTCCTTAGCCATCAAGCTTAGAAATATTTTTAAAGCAGCCAAGCCTAAAGTACTGATGGCTTCACAAAAAGAATAGAGTGAGATGTGTTTCCAACTCTGTTCCCAGTCAGAGGGATAGAAGTTAACACTGCAAAACTTTTTTTAGATTTGCCTATTCAGTTATGCTGTAGATCTTCATTGTATTTGACAATGAAAGTTCTTTAGGTTCGAAGAAATTAATCTGCTGAATCTGTTATCTGTATTTGTCACCCATTTAGAAACAGCTATTTGGTGCTTAAGTACTGTGGTAGAGCATACATACTATACATACATAATTAAACAGGACTAGGTAATCAGGGAAGAGACACAATATAACAATTTGTATAAATGTACTTTAAAAAATTTACTTAGGCAACGTATTGGAAGCAGGCAAAAGAACATGTATGTTCAGGTAATATCTACAGTCTGTTCATGCGTCATATTCCAGTGAGTCACTTACATGCAGACAATTACAAAATAAGAAATAAGTCAAGCTACACATTATGAACTTACTATAACATTAAAACCAGATAAGAAAATAAATTGAAAGTACCTCAGTGATGTGGCATTTCTAGTGAATTTTCAAATGCTTCATTTCCATTTGAATATTCTAGGTTAGTTGCTCTTTTCAGACCTCTCATTACTGATGGTTTTATATATTTGCTGTTACTTATATAGCTCCTTTCTAGACTGATACCACAAACTGATCAGTCATTTCCTCTCTGAATTAATCTTTTTCCTTTTTTTTTTTTCCCCCCTTGGGAACAGGGCAATTCTCAATGAGGTCAGATAACCACAACCTGTGTTTCTGTGTTTTAAAAGCAATGGTTTTATATGTTTTCCCAAACCTTAACACTAACCCTAACCCCTATTCCTGAGCCAATCCCTAACCCTTAACCCAAACTCACACGGTAGAATCATAGAATGATTTGGGTTGGAAGGGACCTTTAAGATCATCTAGTCCAATCCCCCTGCCATGGATAGACCTTTCACTAGGTCAGGTTGCTCAAAGCCTCATCCAAGTTGACCTTGAAAATTTCCAGTGATGGGGCATCTGGAACTTCTCTGGGCAACCTCTTCTAGTGTCTCATCACCCTTATCTTAAAGAATGTCTTCCTTATATCCAATCTAAATCTACCCTCTTTTAGTTTAAAACCATTGCTCCTTGACCTGTCACTACAGGTCCTAGCAAAAAGTCTCTCTTCGTCTTTCTTACAACCCCCCCTTTAAGTACTGAAAGGCCACAATAAGGTCTCCCCAGAGCCTTCTCATCTCTACGGCTGAACAACCCCAGCTCTCTCAGCCTGTCCTCATAGGAGAGGTGTTCCAGCCCTCTGATCATTTTCATGGCCCTCCTCTGGACCCGCTCCAACAGGTCCATGTCTTTCTTGTACTGGAGACCCCAGATCTGGACACAGTACTGCAGGTGGGGTCTCACGATAGCAGAGCAGAGGGGCAGAATCCCCTCCCTCGACCTGCTGCCCACGCTGCTTTTGATGCAGCCCAGGATGTGACTGGCTTTCTGGCCTGCAAGAGCACATTGCTGACTCATGTCCAATTTTTCATCCACCAGTATCCAGCCCCAAGTCCTTCTCCACAGGGCTGCTCTCAATCCATACATCCTCCGGTCTGTATTGATATTAGGAATTGCCCACACCCAGGTGCAGGACCATGCTCTTGGCCTTGTTGAACTTCAAAATGTCCACATGGGCCCACTCCTCAAGCCTATCAAGGTCCCTCTGAATGGCATACCTTCCCTCTAGCGAATCAATTGCACCACTCAGCTTGGTGAGAACTTCATTCCCCCACTCTCTGCCTTGAAGTTCAGGGGCTTGAGAGATGTAGGAAGAGGGATTACCACTGAAAACTGAGGCGAAAAAGTTGTTGAGTACCTCAGCCTTCTCCATGTTGGTTGTCACCAGCTCTCCTGTCTTATTTACCAGGGTGGGTACATTTTCTTTAATCTTCCTTTTCTGGCCAGCATACTTGTAAAAGCCCTTCTTATTATTCTTCGCATCCCTTGCCAAATTCAGCTCCAACTGTGCCTTAGCTTTCCGGATCCCATCCCTACACATCCAGGCACCATCCCTGTATTCTCTCCAGGATACCTGTCCCTGGTTCCACCGCCTGTGCATTTCCTTCTTACACTTCCATTTGACCAGGAGGTCCTTACTCAGTCATGCTGGTGGCCTGCCTTCCTTGCCTGATTTCTTACATGTGGGAAAGGAGAGCTCTTGTGTTTTAAGAAAAATGTCCTTAAAAAGTGCCAGCTCTTTTCAACTCCTTTGTCCCCGAAGGCAGTTTCCCAGGGGATCTCATCCACTAATTCCTTAAACAACTGAAAGTTTGCTCTCCTGCAATTCAGGGTTGTGACTCTACTCTTCACCTGGCCCATATCCCTCAAGATTGTGAATTCCACCAGGGCATGATCACTGCAACCCAGGCTGCCACCAATTCTGACACCTCTAGTTCTTCTGTGTTGGTGAGCAACACATCCAGTAACACTTCTCCTCTGGTCAGGCTGTTTATCACCTGGATTAAGAAATTATCCTTGACACAGTCAGTTTAACACACTACTTTCATTCTTGGCTGGCTCTTGTGCTTAAAAGCTGAGAAAACCCCCTCACGTATTTCTAGGTACCTGAAACAGACTATATTTGTATGTTTTCTCACCTCAACCTGCTCCCTTCTCATTCATTTCCAGCTAGAGTTTGAAAGTTGCAATTTGACCTCTCCCAACCTATTTAACACAA